CAAATATTAAGCCTAGATGCCTGTTACATGTCTGTGACATATAATCATGTTAATATTTTTAATGAATGTTCTTGTCTAAAAGTTATCTTAAATGTAATATGAAAGATAATGTCCAAGAAAAAACTCAGAAAAAAGCTCAGTTTATAAATTTGATTTTTTAAAATTTATAAAATAAACAGAAATGTCTGAGATAAATGAATATAAATAAATGAAGTGTGTGGAAAGATTTTTTTTTCCCCTAACAAATGCCAGGAAAGATGATAGCAATGAATGAAACTTAAATAGAAAGCTTTAATAAACTAGTTTATCAGCAGCTGGATGAGAGAGCTTTAATTGAAAGTGATTTAGTTCTTAGAATTGGGCTTAATGCAAAGGCTAACATAAATATTAGCATAACAAAAAATAGTCCCTTCTCTATCTAATAGCTAATAAAACAATTGCAATAAAGCTAATCATTTTTATTTTTTAATGAATAGGACATGATAAACTATTTTCATTTTTTTTTCTATTTTCATATTTTTAAGAACTCCCCATAATACCCTGTGCCAGAGCACATGCAAAATTAAATCTAATAAAAGTAGTAGAGATTGCAAAATACAAAGAAAATTGCAATTGAGAATTTTGTCAATACGGGCATTCATAAAGCATACACATTTTATTATTATTATTTTTATTTTCCTAACTTATAAATAGAAGCAATAATTATAAAACAAATCTTTTTAAAAATAGTTTTTAGTTGTAATGGGTATAATACTTTTATTTATTTATTATGTGGTCCTGAATATCAAACCCAGTACCTCACATGTGCTAGGCAAGTGTTCTACCACTGAGCTAAAAACCCAGCCCCTGTGAAGCAAATCTTATCACTTGGAAAGTACATTAAAATATTTCAAAAACAAACAAAGGAATGAACATCCATTACAAAATTGATTCATGATTTTTTTAGACCTGACTGTGTGATACCACAATCTGACCAATTTTAAAGGGACACATAAAAACCACTAATGATATTTAGACTAATATAAATTAATAATAATTTACTATTTAATGAACTATCTGATAGCTTCAAAGCACTTAAAAAAGGTGAATAATACCTTTCAAGTTCAAGACTAGTGAACATTAAATATCAGTGTAAAACACTAATAATAAAAGTTGATGCAATGAAAGTAGTAAATCTCTTTACTTAAAACTAGCACGCTTGGCTTAAACAGAAATTTAGAGATTTTTGTGACTATTCAGTCAAAGTTATACATTAATTGAAAGGAAAATTTATACTTAAAAGAATAAAATTTATTTAAAAATCTTCTATAAAACCTAACAAGCAAGAAAAATACTATTATTAACATGTTAAATTAATAAAAGTAGTGGAATTTTCCTACTCTCAGGATGTAAGTTCTTCACTATAGTATTTTGCCTATTTTCTCTTAAATATTCTAATCAAAAGTTATTTTCAGTAATTCAAGCTATAAAATATTTATGAATAGCATATGTGCTATGTTGAAGCATATATATATATATATTTTATATTTGATGCAATCAGAAAAATCTTCCCTGCCTGTTAATGTAATTTTATAATGGGCAACATTGCTACTTGACTATATCTATTCATCTTCCATCATGTTTTAATAACACAAGTGACACCTAAGAAATTATTCTTTGATCTTTCAATAAACTAAGCCTGAGCAGACAGAGGAAGGTGAACAGGGTTAAATTGGCATTGATTATTTAAGACACATTCATCATTTATTTAACAATTTTCATCATCACAGAAGTATTATAATTATGGGCCTGTGCTGAGACACTTTAATTTGTTTTATTAAAAAAATTGTACTAGGTGCTTTAGAAATCAGAGCATATTGTACACTAACATTAGTTTCAAAACTCCTGATAAATCTTTTTAGGACAGAAGTTTACTGCACAGACCTTTAAATTTACTCACTACAGTGGATTTTTAGTGAGTAAATTTTTCTTTGTACCTTATTCAAAATGTGTAGCAACAATGATCTTTTTAAATAGTGATATTTATGATGACTCGTAGTCTCATGGTCTCATATATGCTAACATTTATACCCATGAAACATTATCCTGAATGATCAGTAAAGAACAGTTTATGGCTAATATTGGCAGCTAAAGAAAGCTTTATTCGATAAGGGAATATAATTACCAGTCATAATGAACAAGATTTCTACAAGATTTTTCCTTTTCTTCTTTTAAGCACTGCTTTTAAATTATAAATAGATATGACACATATCTATATATACTATATTTGTGAAAATTAACATTGATTGTAAAAATTGAATATAAAATTAAAAATGAAACATTAAAACAAGATTATAAAATAAAATTATAAAATCAAAATCAAAATATAAATATATACATCAAAAATATAAAACAGTATGAAATTGAATAATTAATAAATTTTTATTTTTTTATGTAGAAATATTCAATAATATTTTAGAAGTATATTAAATGTCTTCTGGTCATGGGAGAAATTATAATATAGATGAATCACATACTTCCAAATAGTAATGTAACTCATCATTCTTAAAGTATTTTACATATTTATAACTTGTTTATTTAAAATATTTCCCTCCCCAATTTTTTACATACAAAATGCCCTATTAATAAAGTTATATCCACTTGCCTTCATACATTTTTATTTGTTGATTCTGATTAATATGCCTTTGAATGCATCAGTAGGAAATGTGAAACATGAAATCTTTAAAACAGATTCCTATTCTATTTTAAACAACTACTCAAATAATAATATAGACTTATATAAGTGGGTTCTTTAAAGACTCACTGCCAAGAAAGAATTATTCCTTAATTCAATACAGTCAAATACATTAAGCTTTTACAGTCATATATAAAAACAAGCTAGAAAAAACTAATATTTTAGGAGGAATTCTATTTTCTATGGTTTAATTTTTCATTTTTATTTACATGTTTAGAAATATAAACACTGTTGACATAAGAAATTTTATAGAAATGAGAAAAGTATAAGGCACAGATGGGCATATTCATAAGAGGCTGCTGGTAGCTACAGTGTTAGGATATAACAGTTCACAGCTTAGCTGTTTCCCCAGAAGTATCATCCATTCCTCAGTAACCAATCTTCACATGTAGTCACTGCTAGTGTTGCATTTTATATTCATGTTCAGTCATTCAGGAAGTTAGAATTCAGTCTCCCAAACATCTTTTCATTGAACGGATTAAAATGGAATATTTGAGTTGACATGCACAGTGTGTTTCCTTTTCCTTCTTTTAAGAACATATTACTTTTTACACAGAGTACACACTCTCACAAAGTTTATGTGGTAGTGGACAAATGACTTCATCTTTGTGGAATTCAATCAACTTACATAAAAACCGAGGGATTTGAAATAGATGGATTCTAAGAAAACCTGTAACACCTGTTTTGTTGGAATATAATTTGGTGGGAATTATAGTTTCATTGTTCTTACTGAAAAACTCTGTGAGGTGCAGATGTGTAAATTCATGGGCTATTGTTATTTCTAAAAATCATTTGGATTTATATTCTAGGTACTGATATACAAATAGGTATTGAAAAATTTTTCGATGGGAAACAAAACATCTTCCAAAAGAGATAAATACTGAATAACTTGTAGTAAATTCTCTTCAAACTCCATAAAAAACATTTTCTTTTAAAAATAATAACCAGATCAGTAACCGTGGTGCACGCCTGTAAGTAATCCCAGTAGCTTGGGAGGCTGATGTGCTAAGCAATGCAGTGAGACCCCATCTCTAAATAAAATACAAAATAGGGCCAAGTGCCCCTGAGTTAAATCCCTGGTACTCTGCCCACAAATAAATAAATAAATAAATAAATAAATATCATGACCAACATCATTTCAATAATGTGTAATGCTAGAAATCAGGATGCATTGTGGTCAAAAGATAAAACAGGTATTTACATTAAAATCAATGTGATAGAAAAATTCAAAAAAGAAGCATAACTTTAATGGTTTTTAGAAAAAAAATATAAAGTCTATAAGTATCTGAAAACAATTTGTGTCAGAACTTAAAACTTTCTTTTTTTCCTTCAAAAACAAGTAGTTCTATATTAACTTTATTAACACAGTATATTAATATAGTGTACAGGCAACAGAAAAGTAACAATCACTTTTATGTTATTTCATACAGTGAGGATACACAGATAGGATATACATCTTCATAAAACTTGAAATTATTTCTGTTCTACTTATTTTGTCAAAAATGCTAAAAATATAAATAAAATTTTTAAGTAGAAGAGAGGGTTCTCTCAAGTTTTAGACACAAAATAACAGAAAATTCCTTTATTTTTCATTGAAGGAAAGTTTAACATTATGAATTCAGGCAAAATATGAATTTCATAACTGTGTTTAAGAAAAGATGGGTATTCATATCAAAGATTGTCACAATCATCCAGTGTTATTAGAAGCAATGTGTATTAAAACATCTTTTACTATCCTATTTTGAGAGTTCAAGTATTTCACATTAAGAAAAAATACTTTCAATTAAATTACTTTCTGTTTCTTGCTCTGAAGTCCAACAGCCAAAATATAGAGTAAATTTCTCTGTAAAGGCGTGTTTCCTTTTGTGTTCCGGCATGTAAAAAATAATGTTCTTGGCCCTTGGCGATTGCAGACATAAGAATTTTATTAAATTGTTAATAAATAAATTAGCACTTTCTTAAAAATAAATTGCCCTAATATTCTAGTATGTATTTTCCACATGTCTGCAATTTCACAAACCCAAACGAATGTATTAGAGATGTTGGTTTAAAAACATTAATAACACATTGCTATGCTAGTTGGTGCCTGTAATTATCTTTTTTAGTTCTGGAAGGTATTTGGGGATTGTTTAAGAGCAAAAAACGAATGGTGTGCCACTAAATCCTGTTAAATCAATGCATAGACACAGCAGCAGCAGAGGTAAATAAGCTGTGGAGGTCTGAATACCAATAAAGAAGATAAAAATGGTTTTACATAGCTACTTACATCACAGCTTAGAAGTTCAGTCTGTGTAGATTTATCTACTCTTGAAGCAAAAGCCTTCTGTAAATGCTGAACTTTTTCCTGCAAAATGAAAAAAATAATTGTATTGTTGGTAAGTCATGTGCTTCTATACTAATACTTATTAAAATATGATTAGTATGCAATTCATGATCTTCTCAGTGTGTACATACAGTTGGTGGTTTTCAAATCAGCCTAAATATTGATAGCTTTAATTTTCACGTCACAATTATCCTACCTTAGGTATGTTTTCTTCTTTCTAGTCTAGAAGATATGGAGTCAAAGTCATAGTTGATTGTTGGACACAATTTGCTTGAATCTAAGACCACCTGTTTATATTGTTAGCTGTTTTTTTTTTCAACTTTTTTTTTAGTTGTAGATGGACACAATACCTTTATTTTATTTGTTTTTATTTTTATGTGGAGTTAGGGATCAAACCCAGTGCCTCAAACATGCTAGGCAAGTGTTCTACCACTGAACGACAATCCCAGACCCTGTGTTAGCTGTTTTTTTCATAACTAAATTGATATGATTTTGTTGATCTCATTTCAAAATATTTAAATTTCAAAGCATTTTCAATACATGAGAGAGCCATAGGATTCAATTTAGTTTGTGTAAAAATTTTTATGCTTCTTAATTCTTTCTAGGAATCCCTACACATTTGGATGTCTGTCTTTTAAGGAACTGACACTACCCCAACCCTGTGATAACTGGGTAAGAGGAGGAACACATGAAGGAAGTCTGGGGTTTCATATTTCAAATGCAAGGGTACTAATTCTTGATCCATTTATTTAACTGGATTTTGGTGTGTGGGCTTCTTTTCTCATTCCAAAACCTTTACATAAAATAAAACAGGATCAGGGACTTAATTATTATGTAATGTGTTTACAGCTGAGAGATTTGTTCTCTCATGACCACATCTCATGTTGGGTTACTACTATCATTCTTCCCCCTGCTACCCTCCTACACTCACTAAAAATTAAACCCAGTGACTAATGAGTCACATTCTCAGTCCTTAAATTTTGAGATGAGGTTTTTCCCAAGTTGTCCAGGCTGGCCCTGAAATTTCAATCCTCCAGCCTCAGCCTCCAGCAGTAGCTAGAATTACAGGAATATACCACCCGGCCTGGCTTCTATTGCCATCCATTTTAAAGAGAGAAAATGCAGCTTAAAAAGTTTAACTTGAGAAAGTTCCCAAAGAATTTGTTTCGACTAGCCTATGTTTAGACTTCACTTAAAGGAAAATTCCTTTCATTTTCTTTTCTTCTGAATGCTTAACAAAATAATTTTATAATACATTAATGATTAAACACAAAACAAAACAAAAAAAATTACAATTTACTTTCAATTTTCCCAGGGTTTTCAGTAGTTATAAAAAATCTCACTCCAGAATTCCAATTACATAAGTTTCTTCCTTCCCCTCTCACTTTTTCCTCCTTGCTTCCTCACTTGGTTTCCATTTCCCTCCCCTCCACATCACTCCTTCAGTTCTGGGATTTCAAGATTACTTGGGATTTTGAATGAATTCTCAATATAATTTAGGTAAACAGAGTTTGTTTTATTGTAAAACAGAAAAGAGATATTATAGGTACTTTTAATGTCTCATACTTTCTAATATCCTTAGTCATAAAAATTCTAGTGCAGCTATTCAGACAAAAATGAAAATTAGATTAGACAATTCAAGATGTGATATGAGGTAAAACTGATAAGTGTCTGAAAAAATTTAAGTGAAAATGTGGCTGCATTGTCCAAATTAAAAGGAGCAGGAGGGCTGGGACTGTAGATCAGTGGCAGAGCACTTGCCTAGCATGTGTGAGGCACTGGGTTCGATCCTCAACACCACATAAAAAAATAAACAAAGGCATGCTGTCCATCTACAACTATAAAAGAGATTATTTAAAAAGTGAGCAGGAGCATATTGTGTTTATTCAGATGTATATTAGGAAGTGTGTTGGAGAAGAACAAGGAGAGTTAAAAATAGGTACAGAAAGCAGTAATGTTTGCTATCATTGAAAGGTTGCTCAGAAAAGTTTGATTATCTATTTTTGAGGTAGATGGAATCATAAACATCTGAAAAGTAAATTTCCATAAGTATATAAACTTTGTGTATAAATTCAAGAACAAGAGAAAATAGCTAGTAAAAGTTTCCATTATGCTTCACCTCACATTTTTATTGTTAAGGGCTTCTGTCCTAGGATAGCAAATGGAATGGTCTGGTAAAGTCAGCCTCATTGGCCTGAGTAATGAGTCTAAGGAAATTCAAAAAAGATAAATATAAAACTCAAATAGCTTCATAACCAGTATCCTGATCAAAGCAAAACAATAATAATTTTAAAAGTACCTAATGAAAGCTGGGCTGTAGCTCAGTGGAAGAGCACTTGTCTAGCATGTGTGAGGCACTGGGTTTGATCCTCAGCACCACATAAAAATAAATAAATAAAATAAAGGTATTATTATCCTTCTACAACACACACACACACACACATATTTAAATACATATATTTTTAAAATACCTAAATAAAAACGATTATTTTAGACATAAATAAACAGATACATTTTCAATTAAAAAGTCATTATCACTTTTTCTTATATATTTGGATTATGTATTATGTACGTACATGTGTGCCATATTCAAATGTGGAGAGTAATTATAAGCTTCTAATAGATGACTTAAGTAACAAAAATTAAAAATTAAAAATCTATACCCATAACAATATATATACTTGTCTTTAAATTTCCCTTTTCAAACAATAACGATATCTTTGGGATTCTTTTTCTTAATTAAGATCAATAAAATATATACAGTAAAACAAAGAAAAAAAGTCTATTACAGTAGTGTTCATGAAAAAAAATTACAAAATCGAGAGAAAAAGAAATTTCACGATGTTATATTTGCTGATAAATTATTGTGTGATCTGAGTCCTGAATTTTGAATGTGGAAATTTTGAATATTACACAATATTGCTACTTGAACAAAAGTATAATGTTTTTTCTCAGCAATTTCCAAGTTATTTTATTTGAGATTAAATGTGATATAATAACTATTTGTATAAAAAAAATCCAACTACCATAAATAACTGCATAAAGCTAAAGAAATATGAGTTACACATTTACTTGATTATATTCACATTTTCTTTCCTTCTGTAATCTTTACCACTATAAATATTACTAATAATAATGGATTCCATTGATAGACTGCAGGTTTTATGCCAGGCACTGTACCAGCAAAATAAATAAATAAATATAACACATAAATATACATATATATTACTTGTTTACATAGTATTTTCCCACTTTTAAAGAATAAGAAATCTATTCTTAGTAAGATTAAATCAATTCCTAAAGATCATACAAGACAGTAAGTGGAAAAAAGATGAAAACCTAATTTTTCTCTCCTTAAACTGTGGTGCCAGGGCTGGGGCTAAGGCTCAGAGATAGAGTGCTTGCCTAGTACATGCGAGGCCCTGGGTTTGATCCTCAGCACCACATAAAAATAAATAAATAAAATAAAGGTATTGTGTCCAACTATAACTAAAAAATAAATATTAAAAAATATATTAAAATAATAATAATTTTAAAAACTGTGGTTCCCTTTCTATATTCTGACTCTGGAAAAGCTTTACAAATGTTCTGTCTCCAAATCATATATGCAAAGAAACATACCAAACATGAGGTTTTTATAGTTACTTCACAGCCAGTAATAATAGCTGGTTAATAAAGCTGTGTTCTTGATATTCACCCTACCCATAGTCTTTTGGGGATCTATTAAGTTATTTTACTTTTCTCTGGAAACACTTTAAGACTACTTAATATTTACTGATGTATTTCCTTTAAAGGTTACAATTCCACGAAATACCCATTACTATAAATATGATCAGTAATGCACTTTGGAGCATGGGTTACAAATAGAATGATAAATTTAATGTAGCACTATAACTCAAAATTGGAAACAAGATGTGAAAAAGCAAACAAGTAAAAACAAATTTTGAAGAGGCATGAAATCCTTCAATAGCAACGATATTATCAGTTTAAAGAAGAGAAAATATTCTTTTTAAGCTTTTAGAATAGGGTCAGGAGTGTGTATGTATTATACACTGGGTAGTGATAGAATCTGTCTTCACAATACATGCTTTCCATATAAAAAGTTGTTCTTTAATATCTCTTAGGATTTTTAATTTAAATTTCATCAAAAATATATTTCTATCGAATGCTAGAGGGAAAAAATAGGTACCACTGACTTGTGCACATTTTACATTTGCATTTGTATCAAGCACATGGCACCATGAAAGTATTAAAGAGGAGGAAATGTGATATAAACAAAAAACAAGAAAAAATCATGACAAGCTAGTGAAACTGATTTTTTATATTAAGCCTTAATGTTTTTAAATTGGTGCATCATGATTTTATAAAGTAGCAGAATTCATTGTGATAAATTCATATGTGCACATAGCATAATCTGGTCAATTCCACACCTATTACATTCTCTTTCTCTCTCCTCTTTCCTTCCCCAATCCCAATTCTCTCTCTACTCTTCTGATCTTGCTACTTTAATTTTTTTTTTAATTTTATAAATACCATTTTCCCCTTTCTTTCTATCTTTCACATATGAGCTAAAACATCACCCTTTACTTTGAGTCTGGTTTATTATGAAAACATATGACCCTTGACTTTCTGAGTCTGGCTTATTTCACTTAACACAATGCTCTCAAGTTCCATCTATTTTCTTGCAAATGACATAATTCCATTCTTTGAAAACTCCACTGTGTGTATATATTCCACATATTCTTTATCCATATGTCCATTAACATGCACAACTTGTCTATTATGAATTGTGCTGCTAAACCTGAATATGCATGTATTGCTAAAGCATGATGATTTTAGTTCTTTGGATAAATACTGAGGAGTTGTACAGCTAGGTCATAAGGTGGTTCTACTCCCAGTCTTTTGAGGAACTCCATACTGATTTCCATAGTGGTTGTATTAATATTAATCCCACATCTTCACCAGAATTTTTTATTATTTGTGTTGATGATTGTCATAAAATCATTTTTTTCAAATGGCTT